AAAGATGCCCACTTTCACCACTTCTATTCAACACAGTACTAGAAGTCTTAGAGCAATAAGATAAGAGAAAGAAATAAAGGGCATCCACATGAGTAAAGTGGAACTCAAACTGCTGATATTGTGACTGCATACCTAGGAAACCCTGAAGACTCACGCTGCACACCAACACTGACCAAGCTGAGAATCAAATCAAGAACTCAACCTCTTTCACAATAGCTGCAAAAACATTAAAATACTTAGGAATATACCTGCCAAGGAGGTGAAAGACCTCTCCAGGGAAAACTACAAAACACTGCGGAAAGAAATCTTAGATGACACAAACAAATAGAACCACATCCCATGCTCATGGATGGGTAGTATCAATATTGTGAAAATGACCATACTGCCAAAAGCAATCTACAAATTTGATTCGATTCCCACCATCAAAGTACCATCATCATACTTCACAGAACTAAAAAAAAAAATCTTAAAATTAATATGAAACTGAAAAAGAGCCCACACAGCTAAAGCAAGGCTAAGCAAAAAGAGGAACTCTGGAGGCTTCAAACTATACTGTCAGGCCACAGTCACCAAACAGCATGACACTGGCACAAAAACGGGCATATAGACCAATGGAACAGAATAAAGAACCCAGAAATAAAGCCAAATACTTGAAGCCAACTGATCTTTGACAAAGTAAACAAAAACATAAAGTGGGGAAAGGACACCCTTTTCAACAAATGGTGCTGGGATAGTTGGAAAATGAATAATAATGGTGCTAGGATAACTTCAAAAATGAAACTGGATCCTCATCCCTCACCTTATACAAAATTCAACTCAGATGGATCAAGGACTTAAATCTAAGACCTGAAACCATAAAAATTTTAGAAGCTAACATTGGAAAAACCCTTCTAGATATTGGCTTAGGCGAAGACTTCATGACCAAGAACCCAAAAGCAATTGCAACAAAAACAAAGATAAATAGATGGGACTTAAACTAAAAATCTTCTGCACAGCAAAAAAAATAATCAGCAGAGTAAACAGATAACCCACAGAGTGGGAGAAAATCTTTGCAAACTATGCATTTGAGAAAAAACTAACATACAGAATCTACAAGGAATGCAAACAAATCAGTAAGAAAAAAAACAAATTGAAAAGTGGGCTAAGGACATGGATAGACAAACAAATGCTCAACATCACTAATGACCAGGGAAATGCAAACCAAAACCACACTGTGATATCACCCTAATCCTGCAAGAATGGCCAAAATCAAAAATGGAAAAATAATAGATGTTGGCATGGATGGGGTGAAAAGGGAACACTTACGCTGCTGGTGGGAATGTAAACCAGTACAACTATAATGGAAAACAGTGTGGAGATTCCTTAAAGAACTAGAAGTAAGAACCACCATTTGATCCAGCAATCCCACTACTGAGTATCTGCCCAGAGGAATGGAAATCATACAAAAAGGCCACATGCACACAAATGTTTATAGCAGTACAATGTGCAATTGCAAAAATATGGAACCAGCCCAATACCCACTAATCAATGAGTGGATAAAGAAAATATGGTATGTATACCTCGTGGAATACTACTCAGCCATAAAAAGGAATGAAATAATGGCATTTGCAGCAACCTGGATGTAGTTGGAGACCATTACTCTAAGTCAAGTAACTCAGGAATGGAAAACCAAACATCGTATGTTCTCACTGATGAGCGCAAGCTAAGCTCTGAGGATGGAAAGGCATAAGAATGATACAATGAAATTTGGGGACTCAGGGAGAAGGGTAGGAGGAGGGAGAGGGATAAAAGACTACACATTGGGCATAGTATATACTGCTCAGATGATGGATGCATCAAAATCTCAGAAATCACCACTAAAGAATTAATCCATGTAACTAAAAACCACCTGTTCCCCCAAAATCTCCTAAAATTAAAAAAAAAATGAATTAAGTAAATAAATACGCACATAAAGTGAGGGAATTTGGCTAGGTGCAGTGGTTCATACCTGTGGTTCTAGTACTTTGGGAGGCCAAGGCGGGTGGTTTGCTTGAGCCCAGGACTTTGAGACCAGCCTGGGCAACATGGTGTGGGGAGGATACTTTTATGCCCTGTGGGGGCTCAACATTAGCACTTGGGAAGAGACAGGCTGTATGCAGTGCTGCAGATTTAAGATAAGCCCTTGGGAAGACTGAATGCCACAGGAAAGCCACAGAGCAACTGTCTGATCTCATATCTACTAAAAATACAAAAATTAGCCAGGTGAGGCAGGGCACAGTTGCTCACGCTTGTAATCCCAGCACTTTGGGAGACTGCGGTGGGCGTATCACCTGAGGTCAAAAGTCCAAGATCAGCCTGGCCAACATGGCGAAACCCCGTCTCTACTAAAAATACAAAAATTAGCTAAGCATGGTGGTGCACACCTGTAATCCCAGCTATTTGGGAGGCTGAGGCAGGAGAATCACTGGAACCCGGGAGGCAGAGGTTGCAGTCAGCTGTGATTTTGCCACTGCCCTATAGCCTGGGCAAGAGCGAGACTCCAACTCAAAAAATAATAATAATTTGCCAAGCGTGGTGGTGCATGCCTGTAGTCCTAGCTAGTTGGGGGGCTGAGGCAGGAAGATCACCTGAGCCTTGGGAGGTCAAAGCTGCAGTGAGCTGTGATTGTGCCACTGCAGTCCAGCCTGGGAATTCCTGGGCGTGCTCTGTGAGCCACTCACTTCCCCCATGTGTCAACCCAGCATTGGAACTGGAGCTTGCCCATGTTGTCCCTTCACTGCCACCTTCAGGAAGGGTGGAAGAACCTCACTCCTAGCTGATTTCCTCTAGCAGTTACACATTATTGGTGTTAACTAGCTGGGGCCCACCTGGCCTGATAGCAAAGAGGCTATAACTGGCACAGACTCTGAAGAAATTGTCCCTGATGATGGAGAAAGAACAAGCCGGATGGTGTAGGTGTCCAAGATACTTTATCTCCTTTGCAAAGGGCCTGGGGTAGGCGTCCCAGATACTTTATCTCCTTTGCAAAGGGCTGCTCTGGCTCCTCTGGGTGCTGCTTGCGAGTGGCGACAGCTCAGAGGAGCGGGATGAACGTGGCCTCTGAGTCCAGGACCCCACCCCGTTTCACTGGCGGCTCTGCCACGCATCAGTCAAGTGGCCTGGGGGAATGCCATGTCTTCTCCTGGGACTGTGAAACAAGAGGGCTTCTAGGCCTCACATTCTCTGAGTATCTTCATTTCACAGAGAAAAATTTCTCACGGTAAAAATGTCATCCAAGAACATTAAAAATAAATGCTCATTTTCTGTGGAAAAAGGCTCGTGTTCTACCTTGTTCCCCCTCAGACCCCCTAAATCTGGTATTTTTACTCCTCTCAAAAATAACCTTTTTAAAGGGCACCTGCCAACAGCTGCATGGCCTTTCTGTGGGGAGGATGCTTTTATGCTCTGTGGGGACTCACCATTAGCACTTGGGAAGAGACAGGTTGTGTGCATTGCTGCAGATTTAAGACAGGGCCCCGGGAAGACTGAATGGCATGGGAAAGCCGCAGAGCAACTGTCTGATCATGGAACGCTGCCTGTCCCAAGACTCCACGCCTCCCAGAGACCCTTGGCCAAGGGAAGGGTCACGACTCACCAAGGCAGCTCTTCCTTCCTTCCTTCCTTATTTGTTTGTTTGTTTTAAGAGAAAAGGTCTTTCTGTGTTGCCCAGATCTGGAACTCCTAAGCTCAAGTGATCCTCCCACCTCAACCTCCCAAGTGGCTGGGACTACAGGTGCACACCACTGCCGCCGTGCCTGGCTTTTTTCCTAACCTTTTATCATTAATGTGAATCAGAAAGAGATTTTCATGGGTTCACTTGGATACTCTGGCCAAGAACCAAGAAGAGAAAAGCTGACTTTTAAAAGCACAGAATTTGTGTAAATTTATTCAGGTGTAAATCTATCTGAACTACTTTCCATCCTCTATTCCAGACATGCCCTGTGATCTCGACAGAATGGTGGCAACGCGTTCTTACAAGGTTGAAAGAAACAGGAAAGGATGGAACCTCAGAGCCAGACGGCCCTGTGTGAGAAAAGGGGAGGCAGGCAGTCTGGCTTCTCGAAAGGAAAGGGACGCTGGGGATGATCCAATCCAGGAGTAGCAAACAGTTTCCATTTCTGTTGTCAGCTGCAACAGATTGGTTGGGAAGCAGTTTCCTGGGATGCTCTTCAGAGGAACTCTGGGGCTGTTTCTGTGCCCAGCTGGAAAAAGTGCTACATTGGATTCCTAGGGTTGCTATCACAAATTACCATAAATGTGGTGGCTTAAAATGACGGAAATGTATTCTCTCTCAGTTCTGGAGACCAGAATCCTGAAATCAAGGCTCTGGCAGAAGCATGCCCTCTCCAGAGGCTCCAGGGGAGAATCTTTCCTTGCCTTCCCCACTGCTGATGGCTCCTGGTGTTCCTTGGCTTATGGCAGCATCCCTCCACTCTCTGCCTCTGTCATCCCTTGGCTTCTTCTCTTTGGGCCTCTCTGTGTGTACATCTCCCTCTCTTTTCTCTTACAAAGACATTGGTCATTGGATTTAGGGCTCACCCTTAATCCAGGAAGATTTTATCTTGAGATCCTTAATTAGTTACATCTACCAAGACTCTATTTTGAAACCAGGTCACATTTTGAGGTTGTGAGCAGATATGTGTCTTGAGGGGACATTATTCAACCCAGTGCAAATGCCATGATGGTTTAGCAAGCTGGACATGGGTTTGGGGCTATGCAGGGATAGGGCCCATGTCTTTTGCCTTCTGATCTGCCATGCTGATCTAGCCCAAGCCCACAGCTTTACAGATGATAGCAGAACTGAGGTTCAGACAATAAAAAGGTCTTGACCAGTACCACATAACTACGTCATGCCAGAGGAGTCAAGAACAGAGACAGATAAAGAGCTGGGGGAGGCAGTTGGGATGGGGAAGTGTAGGGTGGGAGGGGATGAAGATGAATATTACTGCCTTGATTGTGGAATAACTGAGAAGGGCATCTTTGCTTTTAAAACCATTGGCCAAAGAGGATCTAGATAGGACAAGAAAATAACAACCAGCCAATTAGAAAATGTAGGCGTTTCAGAAGAATTAGTACTGCACTGGGGATCAGTTTGTAGAAGATCATCTGCCCTTTTCCAGCTAAAGGAATGAGAGCTCCTCTCACTGGGCAAAAGCCTTTCCAGGCTGGTCCCTGAAAGCAGCATGCGTAGAGATGCCTGCTGGTTGCCATGGTGAATGATGCTGATCTGAAGAAATGAATAATGTGAGCGTTAGGGTGACAGTGGGATTACTCAGTGTTGACACAGAGAGCCCAGAGCGGAGGAGGGAGAAGGCACCATTCTCGCAGCTTTGGTCTGCTCCACCTCGGAGGGCACAACTCTAACCAGACGCGCTGCGAGCATCAGGTAAGGGATAAAGATGGCTCTTCTTGGCAATGGAAATGGCTTCTCTTTTCACACTTTGCTTGGAGAAGGGCCAGGCAATGGTAAATGAATAGCTAAAAATAGGGGAGAATTTAGAAACAGAAACAGAGGAAGAACAATCATTAAGGGAGATGGATCTGGCCCTAAAACCTGAGGATGCTGTTTGTGTCTTGGCAGCTTTTAAAAATGTCTGCTGAGGTAATTCCGTGGGTACAGCCAGCCAGTGGCAGACAGGAAGCCAAGAGAACATTTGTGCGTGACAAGAAACAGGATTCCTGATTACTCCTGACCGAAGGGTTTTACACAGGTGGCTGCCTATGTATCATAAGTAATGAATTAAGCTCTTTTCATTGTGGTCAAAAGTGTATTTATAGGGATGTGTGGGGTGGGGAGGATGAATGCGTAGACACCAAGCAGGGAACATAAACATTCGGTCTCCTTCATGATGACCTTCCCTGGCAGTCTGAGCACATCTGTCTCATCCCTTTCATTCCCCATTTTCTGGGAAGAAATTTTCAGACACGTGGAAAGACACTATTCACCTTCCCGAGCATCTTAGTTCACTGCTACTCTTAGAGAAGAACAACAAGGATTGAGAAATCACTCAATGCTGTGCACCTTTCTGCAGCTCATCTCCTGGGGGAAATGGGCACAAACACAGGAGGGTGGGTGAAAGCGGAGGAGAGAGAGGCAGGTCATAACAGCCGTCGCTTTGGCTTAATAGCCAATGCAGGTGAAAATCCAATTGACAGCTGTTTACTATGTCACTGCAACCCAAAATAAAACCTACGGGGTTCTATGTGCGAGAGGAGGGGCGGAGGACAAAGCAGGGTGAGACCTTTATGTGAACATACATAGGCTATGACTGCCTGTATTTCTGATCACAGGAAATCAGTAGAGGGAACTGCAGGAGAGAAACTAAAATACTTGAAGATGGCTCTGTCTTATCAAAGTGGGGCCTGGCAATGTGAAGAGGGCTCATTTGATTTGCCTTGAAAAACAGCAACTGGGTCTCAGCCCTGGCACCTCACTTTGCTATAGCGTCTGTAACTAAACCCAGCAGCCCTGCATTAGGAAGTACAGTGGTTAAGCGGCTTTGAGTCTTTCTCTCTATTAGCGGCATGACATCCGGTTGCTCATCCATAAAATGGGAATTGAGCTCAGAGGGTGTGAGGAAGAATAAAGGAAATTAATTACTGTCTGTGAATCATCTCGCATGACCCATGACATAGCAAGCACTTTCTGTGAGTGGTTACCATGATTAACATTCATAATACCGGCAGAATTAAATAGCGGTAGTTATGCTGATATTAGGGGCTGACTATTTTCACCTATGAAATAAATTTCCTGGTTTTTAAAACCGCTGGCTTTAAAAAAACAAACGAACAAAACAGGAGCAGAAGCTTTGGGGTGAAATCAGCTGCCAAAGGGTGATGAAGCAAATTTCCACTCACCATAGGCAACAGAACCAGGAGGCTAAAAAAAAGCAGTGGGCAGAATGTTCTAGATCACGAAGCTCACAGTACTTGAAGCAGAAACAGGAGGTCAAGAAGGAAAATTTAGGTGAATCAATTGCCTGAGGGGAGGTCACAAACCTGAGGATGAAGGTGGAGCCTCTGAGGTTCTATTGATTTCTCCTTACCTTTTCTTCTTTTTTCTTAAAGGGATGAGAAAGATGTTGTTATGTGAAGGATTTCAGCAAGGGTGAGATGTGGCTGGGATTATATGGGTGCATGTCTCTTTAGGCCCGAAGGCCACCAACTTTGACATGGGACGGCATCGGTTTTAACTTCTGTCCTGCCTTTTCTTTGCTATGCCTAAATAACAGAACCTCTCAGCCTCCACTGCTTTGTCTGTAAGATGAGGGCAATAGGCGTGCCCGTCTTAAATGTGCAATAAATGGTGGCTATGATTATAAGTACATACTTAAATCGGGGGATGTCACTCTTCACTTTGATTCTGGTTCCAGAATCGGGATGAACATCGAGGTTGGGAACATTTCTCATACAGGAGCCATCATCTCCTGGTCGCCCTCGGAGCCCTGCCTGGAGGACTATTACCATATCATGTATAGGCCCACCTGGAACAGCATCTTCTCTGGCTATCTTCGCTACAGCTTCCACCACGAGGAGAAGGTGCCTCGAACGATCAGCTCCGTTGTGCTGGAACATCTCGCCCCTTCCACTTTCTACTTCCTGTGCATCAGCTGTAAGAAGGCTGCCTTCCCTCACAGGCACTACTGCACCATGTTCCACACCCTGGATAAGAGTCCACTGGCTGCTGGAAGCTCGCTGGTGGACCCCCAAATCTCCCTTTGGGTGTTGATGGCCATTCTACTGGCCTGCTTCACAGCCGTCTTGGCCTTCATCTGTCTCCAGTTCTGGTGTGTCCGCTACCATGAGCCACGATGGTCTTACAGAGCTGGCCAGATGGAGGAGGCCAATGGGTTGGTGAGATGGCCAGAGGAGGTCCAAGCTCTGGGTCAGAGGGAGGAAGACCTGCAGGGGCTCCCCCTGGTGGAAGTGCCACGCAAGAACTCCAGAGATGGAGCTGAACTGGACCCGGAAGTCAACGAGGATGCCTCTGATGTGGGTGCCTTACAGAGGGAGGGTGGTGACCAACTCGCCACACTGCCTCATTGTAGGGAATAAGAGCGGGGAGGAGAGGGCCCACATCATGTAGCCTAAAGCTCTCCACACAGTAGGTCTTTTGTACAAACGTGTCTATAGACTACCCATTTCTCTCCCATGTGGGTCACCTGGGTTGGATGAGTGCCCCATGACAAAGCTTCTCAAGCTGAAAAATGTATCCCCCAGGGTGTGCCAAGGTACAAACAAGGCATCTCTGCAGCAGTGTCCACTCGGGGGACATAGTTAAGAACGGAAAGCATTATTTTAACATTAAAACAAATATGGATATGTTATAAAGTAGAAAGCAGAAATCTGCATGACTGACACGCAACGGTACTTGGAGGAAATGCTTGAGTTGCAGGTAGGCTCTCTGAGATACACTTTTGGGCAAAGGCAGATGTCCAGTTTCCTCTGCCCTTGAGGGGATTATTTGGAAAAATGTGAGAAGCTTATTTTAGGCCATCATACACCACCTGTTTCTATTTTTTTAAACCATGAATTATCTTTACTATTAATACTTTCCTTTAAATTGACTCATTTTAAAGTGTAAACTTATTTTCAAAGACAGCCTTATCTTATTCCATAAGTGAAAAGCCAGCACCCTCCAGCTACAAACAGAAGGGAACAGACATAAGAATAAACATCATGAAAGTAAGATAATATTCAATCTGACTTAGCTTCGACTGCCTGCCAGTGACTCTGAGCTTCATGCCTACTTGCCTGTCTTTGATAAAAAGAGATCCAGTGTTGGAGCGGTAATAAAGACACATTAGTACCAATATTTGTCTTTCTTCTTGATATAGCATAAGGTTTGAAAAGAGAATCAAAAAGGGAAGTACTACTTTTACTTTGTGAATCCGTGTTAGTTTTAACAGACATGGCGTTATGCCATGTCTGTGAACCACCTCAAATGCTGTCAATCAGCTTCCCTCGATTTGAGAAAACTGCCTTGACCAGGCTAGTTGTTCTGGAGAAGATGCCTGTACTTTCCCAGCATCATCCTAAGACCTTCCAAGTACCCTCTTATGTCTACGGAGGACAAAATTCCAGAATCACAGGATGACACCGCCATGAATCAACTGAGAAACAGCAGGAGCTGGGAGGCCAAGACAAGAAGCCCCACATCCCTATTTCCTTGCCCCCTCAACGAAGTAAATCCTCACCTGACCGCTCAGCCTTCCCGACTCAGCATCCAGTCTCCAGGGTCTGCTTTTGCCCTTATTCCTGCTACTTGTGAACAAATAAAGATTCATATACTCGCAGATGTTTCTGCCTGGCTCTCATTGCTGCCTTTTCCCTTTCTTTTTAGAGATAGAGTCTCACCCTGCCACCCAGGCTAGAGTGAAATGGTACAATCATAGCTCACTGCAGCATCAAACTCCTGGGTTCAAAGGATCCTCTGGCCTTAGCCTTCCAAGTAGCTGCTGGTGCATGCTGCCATGTCTGGCTAATTTTAAAAAAAAATGTATTTTTTTGTAGAGACAGGGTCTTACTATGTTGCCCAGGCTGTTCTCAAATTCTTGGTCTCAAGTATCCACCTGCCTCAGACTCCCAAAGTGCTGGGATTAAAGGCATGAGCCGCTGTGCCTGGCATTGCTGCCTTTAACTCTGCACCGTCATGCTCGTCTAATTCAGGGACACTTTTCTATTTGCTTTTTGTCACCAACCCTCTTCTAGGGAGGGTAGGGCAGGACTACTTACCTTGGATCCATAGAGGTAATAAGGCTGGACGTTGGCAGGTTTGTCTCGTTGTGGTTCTTGGGTGAAAGGAATGGCAGTCCGGACAAAACTAGTAGAAGCAAAGGGATGGGGAAGAGTTAAAATGGTCCTAATATTCTTCATGGGACACAGATAGCAGGAGCGCATCCTGACCAGGTGAAGGTTTGCATTGGTACAACTGCCCTGTTGGTTAGGTACGAAACTCTTCCAACATCTTCCCATTCAACTACTGTCTCCTTTCCATAGATGGGAAAACTTCAGTCTAGATTCCTGGACTCAACCAGGGGCTTGTGGCTGCTCAGAAGGACACTAGGCAAGAAAGTTAAGAGTGAACAAGGCTTTCTCTGGAGCTCCACTCCTCTACCTCCAGTTTGGTTTATCGAGAGCAGAGTTCAGCAAACTCTCAAAAGAGCCAGGCAGCAAATATTTTCAGCTTTGCAAGCCAGACAGTCTCTCCTGCAAGTACTCAACTCTGCTGTTGCAGCATGGAAGCACCCACAGACAGTAATAAACAAATGGGCACGACGGAGTTCCAATAAAACTTTATCAATTACAAATCATTTTCACCTAAATATTATTATTCTTGGGACTTTTTCCCCTCAACCACCCAAAAGTGCTAATACTATTCACAGCTCATGGGCTTTACAAAATCAGTCAGCAACTAGATGTGGTCTGTGAGCCACAGTTTGCTGCTCCCTGCTCAAGAGCGTTAAAACTCCTAAATCTTTACAGAACTGGAAATCTATCTCACTTAGTGTATGGATTCAGGCGGATTTGTGCACATCTCCCATATGGTTCCATTCTTTCAACACATACTTATTTAATACTGGCCTGAGCCAAGCCCAAGGATACCTACAAGGCCTGAAGATGAATACCTTTTTTTGCATCCTTACATACCTATTTTGTATGTGAATATATATGCCTCACCTCTTCCACCGGGTTATGAGCCTTTGTTGGGATAAAGAAATTAGGTCTTGTCTCCCCCAGTGCCTGGCCCAGGGCTGTGTGCAGCCTGCAGGAGGCAAGTTCCACTTGTTATGCACATGTGTGCTCTGCAAATGTATGTTGTTTTGCATGCTTTCAGATACGTGGATATCCTCACAAGCATGCAATCTGATGTCACCTCCTTTCCTCAAACTCTTTCAGGGTTAATAAAAATGTAATAAAAGTTGTACAAGCGTACAATCTGATGTCGCCTCCTTTCCTCAAACTCTTTGATGCTTAATAAAAATGCACGATCCTGCCCTGGCCTCTAGAGTACTGCACAATCTGTTCCTGTGTTATCTTTCCCACCCGACTAGTTTCACTCTCATCAGCCTCTTAGAGAAACCCTTAGATACTTGCCTGGAATATTCTTCTCCTGCCTTTTTGCCTTAATTAGTCCTACTCATCCTTTGCATCTTAACTCCAGCATTACTTCCTCAAAGAGGAAGCCTCGCTTGAGGTTTGCATGACTTTTTGGACTAAAATAGGTGGTGCTGTTACCTCTGTCATGGCCCTATGGGCTTTCCTTCATCTTCTTATTCACTGTTCATAATGGTACATTTGTCATGTGATTGTTTGATTTCTCACATCTTCCTCTAGTCTGAAGACTCAAGAGGCAGAAAGGTATCTGTTCACCAGGGCATGCCCCATGTTTTACTGGGGCAGTAAAACCCAAATGGGCAACTTCAGAACAGTACTAGAAAGAGCTCTTCAATGAGAAGACCTAATTGTTAATCACATTGAACTGTCAACCAGCTCTGTGACCTCAGGCAAGTGACAGAGCACAGAGCCTGTGCCCAGGAGGTGCTGAGAGACACCTGTTGCAGGAACCACTTACATGTGTGTTGATCCTAGTTTGGAAGAGGCCATGGTCACTCTCCCAACCCCTGCCCACCCGCCTCTGCACAGGGACTCCCTTACCGGTTCGTGGACCCATTGTAGCAGTAGTTGGGGAGAAAGTCAAAGTTCAGTTCCCAGAAGACATGCAGGGTGATGCGGCCGTAGGGGGCGGACACATTGTGATTGGCTTCCCGGAACATGGCATCAAAGCTGTCCAGCGTCATGTGCTTACAGAGCAGCCGGTGCGTGAGCCGGTTAATCTCCAGCAACCACTCCAGCTCCTGCCCAGAGAGAGAGCCCATAACTGCTGAGGACTTGCTTGTAAGCCTTACACGTGTGTGCTTTATCTTACTGATTCCGTTCATGCAAGTGACAGCTGGTCAACTTCCCGACCATCTACGTGGGAACTAGGACCCTGCAGTAGCAGGTGACAAGGTTTCCTTCTTCTGAGAAGTGGAAGGATTGTCAGACTATGCTAGGGGCAAGGTAGAGGAAGGGGAGGCTGCATGCCCACCCTGTGGAAGGAGACCACGAGTCATGTGCAGATCCCCTGATTACATCCCTTTGGGTAGAGAACAAAGCTTACCTGCTTTCCAGTTTCTATATCAGTGAGAAAAAAGTAATAATAAGAGCTACCACTGATTCAGGGCTTACTGTTAGGTCGAACCCTATAATGTTACTGTTTTTTTAAGGTCAAATCCTAGCAGTTTTGCGTGGTTCTATCAAATCAGTATGTGCCAGTTTTACATGCATCAACTCATTTAAAGCTTATCAAACCCTATGAGATCAGTATTGCTGTTCTTATTTTATACATATGGAATCCGAGGCTTTGAGAAGTTAAGTAACTTGGCTTCAAATCCAGAGGCTCCAAAGTTCACATTCTTAACCGCCATATATTCTAACAGCTACAGAAATTTTAAAAAGAGGTGGGAGCAGAATGCCTCGTCCTTTGGAGTATAGGCCCCTTGAGGTATCACATAGGGGTGGCAAAGGTGTGGCTACAAGCCATGGGTAAGCAGTCTATAATCAGCTCATAATGACCTGAAATCTATGTACACTGTGGGCCCTGAACAAAGGAATCCCATCTTAAGGCAAAGTGGAATACAGTGGACATTGTCTGCACACAGCAGGACATGGCATTTGCTGGGAAATGAAAGAAGACTGTAACTCTTTCAACACGCTTTGGTCTCTCACTGTCCTGTAACTCCCCCCCACTGCTATCAAAAGGAACCAAAGCACAGTCTTGTGTAGAGACAGAAAGCACCTGAGGCCACTCCTGTGTTGCTTTGGGTAAGCCATCTTTAAGATAGGTACAATGGTCCCTCATTCATAGGGAGGGGAAATGGAGGCCCAGAAGGTTAAGTAACTTGCCCAAGGTCACCATAACATGCCTTAGGATGTGAATCCAAGTCTCCTTATTCCAAATCATGTGTTCTTGGCCCCTAAGATACAGTTCCCTGGAATAAGGATGCAAGAGCTGTGAAAGTCCTCTGAAAGGCAAAGATGGCTTCACAACATAAAGGCTAAAAAAACATTGGTAAGGCCAATTCATTAGAGCATGGCCAGGTGGGATGGCCATGGAGTCAGCTGTAATGGCTGGAATATGTCCACAGGAGGCAGCCTCATGCCAGAGATTCAATTTCATTCTCATCAGCCACAAAGACCCCTAGATGGAGACCAGAGTATGGTCAGGTGGAGATCCAGGCTGCGTTTCCAATTTTTGGAGCTCTGCCTCTCTGAAACTCAGATTCCGTGGCTGTAAATTGAAATGCGCAGAAATGGTTGAAGGCTTGCAAACATACACGGCTAAAGAAACCAGACAGGTCAGGAAAGTGGGATCAACTGGGGTGAGGACAAAGTTTGGGGAGTGGGTCCATCTATAGGAAATTGAAGGGCCCTTCCCAGGTAAAGGTGGAGCAGCTACTTCTGATACCCCATCAGACTGTGGCCATATTGGAGTGGGGGATTAGAGATGGCAAATCCTGCAATTTTTCAAAATGAGGTCAGAATTTCAATTCTGGAACAGCATCCAGAGGAATAAGTTTCCAGTCATTGTGTACCATGAACTAAATGAAGGACAGAACACAGATCCAGCTTTCTGATTCTGTCTGCTGGGGGCCTGGCTAGCTGCAATACATCTTTATTCTGATTCAATTAGAATGGGTACTAAATAAATGAAAAATACATGAAGTAAGCGCTGCCAAGTTTATTTCTAACATCGCTGAGTCCCCTGGCACACTGTGGTGCCTTGTTACTGGGAAGACGACTGAGAAGCTGGGGAACAATTTCTGTGTTATCGTTCTGTGACTTTAGCAGTCTCATAGCAGGAGGCTGCTGGAACTGCAGGTCCACTTCTGCCTGCACATTATATAACCCAAACCATATTTCTGCATCACATTTCGGATTTGTTCTCCTGGCCTTGAAATCAGAAGAGGGCGTGTGCCTGCTGGATGTAGGGCTCAATGTACCAAAGCATGGAAAAGGCTGAAAAGGCTTAGAAGGCCACATGGGCAGTTTAGGGGTCTCCTAAGAGGACGACAGCTTTCCACAGTAAGGCTGGTTTACTAAAGGCCAACGCAGAGAAACAGAACTGGGAAGTAAAACACCCACATGGGCAACTTCAGAGTAGTAGCATAAAGAGCTCTTCAAAGAAAGACCTGACTGTTAATTACATTCTACTGTCAACCAGCTCTGTGACCTCAGGCAAGTGAGAGAGCAA